GGAAAATTTTTAGAAAAATTACTTTTTTACTGTACTTCAATTTTTAAAAATTAAATGCTAATTCATAAATCTATTTGTAATTTCAAATTTAATAAAAATCTTTTTGTAAATTATAGAAAAAATTTTAATATAATTCGAAAATTTATTTCTATAATTTAAATATAAACACATTTCAAGAATAATTTCTTAATTGAGATTATAATGAATTTATAAATAACGAGCAAGTGTGCATGATTGATCACTATTATTCACACAAACTATGAAATAAGTTTTCCTACCACTATAAACACATATATAAAATAAATCTATTTTAAACTAATCGTATTGATTTCTACATCGATTATGAATGTCTGCAGAAATTAAAAATGAAAAATAAATTAAAATATTATTAGACCTTAAAATTTAAAACAAAAACTTATTTAATAGTAAATTTTTACTATTGCTATGAAGCACTTTATTAAAAATTATTATTCTTCACTAGTTAGGCTTGTAAAATCAAATTTACTAAAAGCCCAAACTTTTTAACTTAAAATATAAATTATAACTACCCTATGGAACATACTACATTTTATAGAATGGGGAAAACTTACGTCCCTTTTTGTAATAACAGTATACTTTGAATAAGAAATGAAAAATATAATACATTACTTTCATTTATCGAAAAAAAATATTAGACATTTCGAAATAAAACATCGTTAAAATTTTGAAGAGTCTAAAGCTATTAATTAATTATTGTATATTTTTTATTTATATAAAACTAAATTTTCAGACCGATCATGCACAAATGCTAGTAATGTTAAAAACTCATCCAAGACTCTCTTGCATTAAACTTATAAAAATATAACTAAATGTGACTTATAAAAATAACTAAAATCTGTTAAATTTAGTTCTATTTACTCTTGCCAAAAATGTAGAGAACCATTTTAAAAACTCATCATTATTTAATTTTTTCTTTTAACACTAATCATACCAAGACTTAATATATACCTATTTCTACCATAGCGGGTCAAATGACCCGTTGTGGTAGATATCGGTATACAACAAGAATTACTCAGAATAAACAAAACAAACAAAAAAAAAATTGTTATAACTGTACATTAATTACTTAGAAAAAGTCATGAAGTCAAATGTGCAAACGCAATAACATTATACGTGCATTTTCAATGCAAAAGTTAAAAATGGGTTATTTGACCCGTTATGGTATGTTTAGTGTTAATTTATCAGTAAAATAAAATTAAAAATATATATTCTAAATAAATTGCAATTTTGATTTCAAGTTATTAATTAAAATATTTTGTATTTTCAGCTAAGTCAAGGAACTTAAATTTAAACAACTAATTATTAAATTCCTTTTTAATTATATGATCCTGATTAATTACAAATTTCCACATATCAAAAATCACTTAATAAAGGAGGAACTGAAAAATATACTGCAAATGGAACGTGCAATATAAAACTCACTATAAGTTTTATTGCTTTAAAATAATAATTTAAAATTATAAAACATGTAACATACATTCACATACGATATACATTAACAATTTAAGGTAGTGAGAATATTTTTTAAAATAAGCAGGTGCTTATAAAGATATCCATAAAAAATATATTTATTAAAATTTAAATTATACGTATGTACTTAAATATTTTAAAATATTGATTAATAAGAAAAAAAAATTTTATATTGACCTAGATATTATAAAAATATTATGAAATTTAATTGAAATATTACAAAATATCGATTTCATCTAGCTGAATAATGGTACTTATTGCAGCTGCTGACCACTGCACAAGATTAGAATTATGACTCTTGTGCGTGTGACAGCGGCTATTGTGAGATACCGAATTACAACTTTTTTAGATGTGCAAGAATGAACATATATATGAGTATATGTAAAACATAAATACAATTAAAATTGATGAACTTCAAAATTAAAATATCAAAAAAAATTAATCTTTATAATAATGTAAGTAAATGTAAGTAAGTATTACAGTTTCATTGCAAGAAAAATCAAATAGCAATTTAAATATTTCATAAATAGCCATTCTTATATCATTAAATTGTTTTTTTTTTGTTAGTGTAAATGACAATAGTATCAAATGAACCTCCAGTTCAAATCATCATTGTCAACAAGGTAACAAAAATACGACGATCAGTTTAATGTATCAAAGGCATATTAAGACCAACAATATTCGGAAACTAGCCCAAAATCATGTAACAGCCTTGGTTTACAAAGAGAGAGCTGAACTGTCAATATCGGTAAAAATGTTAAACCAATATCAAAATAAAACCAGCCAAGAACTAAACTAAAAAACCAATCAAAGAACTAAATTGGATTGTTGTAGAATATTATTTTAAAATCGATAAAAATTATGTGTAATAAAAAAAATAAAATAATTATAAAAAAAATTTTAGTACTTACTTTGGTTTACATACGTTCTCGTTTCTTCTTTGCTTTAAATTAATTAAGTTCATCATTATGTATACATACATACATTATGTAGTTTACAGGTATTCTAAGTTTTCGACATGTTTTATAAGTTTTTATGTATGTACGTTATGTATGTACAAAAAAAGTACTTAATACACTTCTAAGTATTACTCTATGAAATTGTTTATGGGTAAAACAATTTTTAACAATCAATTATAATAATTAACAATTGTAAACATTCAAATTTAATCGTAATATATTAAAATTCTTAAGTACCTATGTAAATCTTTTTATTCGTAACACACAATTATATATACATATTCTCTATGGTAATAGGTACATTATTATTACAACTAACTTGATTGAAAAATAATGGGCATACTGAATTACATAAATATGAAACCTACTGCGATGAATCACATATGAAATTTTCAAATAATTTGACGAATTTCTGAAATTATGGTATATCTAAAACATCTAAGTATAGATAATATTTCCGTTTTCTAATATCCCTTGCAGGAGTGCAGCCGTTTAAAATTAGATGAAATAAAATTGATAATTCTATAATTGAACTATAATTTGAATTGAACTTGAATTAGAATTAGAACTTTGTAATCGTGTATTTTAGATGAAGGTCTCGTTAATATTGATTGCACTCCTTTATATTTTCAGTAAAGTATAATTTCTTTATTTGAAAAAAATATATCCACCAATTCTTTAGTAAAAATTCTCTACAAAATTCTTTAAAAAATTTCCCACTTAATAGTTAAAGCACTTACAAATACTAATAGGTACACAAATCACAACAAATAGGTACACAAGATATTGTTCACATTTTATTTAAATTTAACTTCGTTATTAATAGTTGAATATTTTATATTTTTAAGATTCAAATTTATGAAGATCATATTTATTGACGATTTGCAAATTAAAATTAAAAAATAATATAATTTAGAATTTTTGATAATTCTACAAGAATTGCCTACAACAACTGTCAAAGTATTTCTGAAAATGTAGCAAAGTAATGACAACATTTTTTAAACTACAACTACAAACTAAGATCTTAAAAAACTTATCGCAAATACACGGCTTTAATTTTATCAGTGCAAGCAAAAAAAAAATAAAATGTCGGAAGATTTAAGGATTTGTTAGAAAAAGTATTCATTTTCTGTAGCATTATTTTAAAAGCTTTAGAAAATGAAAAAATTAAAAAAATCGCTCAATTGAATAAAAAGATGATGGTGCTTCAACAGCTGCAAAATTTTTCTATACTACCAGTAGCAACATTGAAGTTTTTGTAGTTTTTTTTCTGCTGCTAAAGTTAATTAAATTCTGAGTTAAAAATGCAAACGCAATCTGTATTTTCAAAAATACTCAATCCATTGAATTTTTACATTTTTATTTGTAGATCATTAACAAAAATGTTAATGATCTACATAAATTTTGATCCGAAAAATATTGAATTTTGGACTATATATTTGACGAAATCAAATAAAATTTCAGGAATGCTTTATGCACCTACTTATTGCGATTTGTGTATCTCTTAGTAACTATTAAAAATGTTCAACTTCTAATTGAGAGATTATTTAAAGAATTGAGTTCCTTCTACCTTGAAAAAGAAGTTTTACCTTTTCATTTATATAGGTACATAACTTTATAAATATTTAAAATACAAAAAATTTAAATTTGTAAAAAAATTAAAATTTTGGTACAGGAATAAGATAAAATAATAAGCTAATTCAAATTTAATTAGTTTATCTTGCTATTTTATAAAAGGTAAAGAATCTAGAAATCAAGCTAAGACAATTTTTAAATAATTTTTTAAATAAAAATTTACAGTGAAGTAAATTTTTTATAATAAATTATTAAAAATTAGTAAATATCCAAATTTGATACTTTGAACTGAACTGACCGAACTATAAACAGGTACTTATATGTTATAAAAATTGTACAAAAACTGTGATCTTAAGTATAATGACTTATAATTGACAATATCTAGGCGAAACTAGCCGTGTACAGTTTAAATTATTTATCTTCAAACAACAAAAGTATAACAAAGACCCAAATAGTTTTTCTATACCAATATTGAATTTTAATAAAATGCATAGATATATGCACGTAAATTCAAATACTATAACGTAAAGATTTTCTAAAACTATTTGAAAATATGTTATTCTTAAATTACTCATTGAGCGATGTCAACATTATGTTTAATTGTAATTCGGCTTGTGGTTCATATATGTAAATGCTTTGTACTAAACACAATTTGATAAAGTCAAATCATACGATCTTTTTTAAAAAAAGTATATTTTTATAATAATAAAGAAAAATATTAAAATGAATAAAGAAAAATATTAATAATTTTTAGATACATTTTAACTGCTTCTTGTTGCAAATCGTTTACAGAATATAGCAACAATAAAATACTTTATTGTTTAAGGCAATCAAATAATACTAAATTCAAATTTTTAGTGAAATTAATTTCAAATAAAGTAAGAAGTATTTAAATTTGTATAGAAATCAACTTATATTTAATATATGTATATTAAAAACAGACATATTATGTTTTTGTTTTACTCATTTAATTCAGAACTAAAGCTTACAGAGTATTTTGTGTTTTTTTTAAGTACATTATAATAATAAGTGATATTTTGTTATTTGTATGAAATTTAAATATTAAAAATTGATAATAAATTACTAATTATGATGAATTTTTAATGTCTTTGCAATAATATCAGAATACAATTTTATCCTACTTTTTATTTATTACTATTTGATTATATTTTTTAATTTTTGAATCCAAGCAATAAGATCAGTTGCCATCACCATGATATAGTACCTTTTTCGACAATTAATCTAAATATTCAATTTCAATAATATCATCGTCCTCTTCTAAATCATCGAATTCAGCCAAATTTTCTATATATTAAAAAGTGTGCGCATTCCTACATATGCCACATCCCAAAGCGAATTCTTCACCAGTTGGTGGATGTACAACATGTAAGGGGCATTCATCACCGACAAGCTGCGTTGCCTTTGGACCACATGGACATTGCGGTAGTTTGTTTTTGGGAATATTTGTTAAATGTTGAAAATCGTCATGACATGTATCACAAAAATGGGTTGTGCCGAAACAAAAGAATACTGCTACTGAACAACAATAACGGCATTTATATTCCAGGAAATCTGTTCCATGCTTAGGACACATTTGCGCTCGAGCAACATCACTGCAGGCACCACAAACTAGTTCTTCCGGATTATATTTATCTCCAACTTCAGCATGACATCGTGCTTCACCACCATAATATGCTTTTTGACATTTAAAACATACGTAATATGCATAGCGGTCCATTGCCATTGCGGCTAAGTCTTTATTATCAGAATCTTTAATAACCCCTTCATATTTAAGACGCATCAAAGCTTTACGCTTAACATCTTGTTTTAGATTATTAATTGGTTGCAAGACATTACTTAATAAATCGTGCTCAATATCAGCCTTGCATATTGGACAAAGAGAAAACCCAAATGAAATACGTGGTCCATTCCATCTTTTTTCTAAAACAGCTTTAGAACAGTGATAATGGAAAACATGACCGCACTCAAGCTGAAAAGAAAATAGTAGAACTTTAAGGTTCCAGAACTCTTCTTTATTTATTCAATGATTACCTGAATGGACGGGGCACATGCCAATGCTTCTACAAAACAAATCATACACATATCGTCTGCATCTTGAGTTAATTTTGGCAATTTTGATCCTTCAACTAACTGGTTTTCTCTATCATGGCAAACGTGTTGTAAACATGGCAAACATTTTTGTTCACCAATAACACCTCCACACGAATGACCACAACTTTTTATCCTTTGACAGGAGTTAGCAGCTAACTCTTGACATTGGGAGTCCGCACACACGTTTCCAATTTCTAAGAGCCCAGTGTTACCAATTACACCGCAAAAACGGCACCTTCCAACAGTATCCTGGGGTCCCGATATAATAGTATTGGCTCCATCCCTAAATTCCACAACTCCTTTAAGAGTTTTACTGTCTGCTAAAGCTAAAAGCCAAAACAGTTTAGTTCTGCCACATGACTCATGTAATTCAACTCGAATCGCTTCTTCCTCTTCTTTGCATACAGTACGGCGATGATGTCTCGTTTTTCTACTTAAGTGCAAAAATCTATCACAATCACTACACAGTGAACCACATGTTTCGCATTGTATGATAGCCGAAGTTTCTCCATCATCATGATTGGAACACAACGGTCTTGTATCAGAATTACTCCACTGTCCCGATGATAATTTTTCTACGTGCTCCTTGTCCAAAACACAAAGACTTGCTAAAGCTAACCACAATGTAGAAGTTTTTATACAATTTTCCGGATTTCGAAAAACTTCATCTAAACGCGTTAAGTTTAAAACTGATTCAGCGATAGCTGCTTTTGTTATTAAAGACCATTTCTCTGTAAGCTTACCCTAATGATGAAAATAAGTTTTTTACTATTAAATAAATAACACAACAAAAAAACTTACACTAGTCATGTCTCGTACTAAAGCTATAATACTTTCAGCTTGTTTATTCGATATTGCACCCTTCAAAAACCATCTCTGATTCAAATTCTTTGAAACTGCTTCTTTTAACTGCTTTTTTGGATTCCTATCAAAGTCAATTAAATCCATAGTAAAACCCTTTACTACAGGTCCTGTATCAAAAGCGAAATGAGCCGGTGCTTCAACATGGTTTTTGTCGTCCATTACAAAATCCGATAAATCTTTTTTCTTTAAAGTATGCACAGAAAAATCAATGCAATTACATAATTTAACAAATGCAGGAGATTTGTCCATTGCTGGTTTAGTTGAAGTTTTAATTTTAACTTGTAATTGTATGGACTTTGCTATAACAGCTAAAAATATGTCCAGAATACCTAACCGGTTCATGTCGAAGTCACTTGGATTTTGATTGACGATATTAAAATCAGCTGGTGGCATTTTTTGCACACCTAATAGTTCACCTAAGTTTTCTGGAGAAATTTCTGGTAAAATTCGTCTTAACAAAGCTGTAACTTGACGCTGGACACGATCACTTCCAGTGTGTAATAAACTTAGCAAATCTTTGAGTAGCCCGTGTTGGTGTGATAAATATGAACGACCAACAGCACTTCCTGAAAGCGCTAATACCATACTGAGCATTTCAAAACAGTAAGTGTCTGGAGATCGATATCTTTCAACACTAGAATCGCTCTTTTGATCTACACCAACGTTATTAATATCTTTAAAATTGGTTGTCGCATTTGACATCTCCCATTCTTCTTTAGCCCGTTGTGCTTCCTTTTTAATGGCGTGAACAATATGAACTATTACTTGTTTTTGTAAATGACTCAATTTACTTCTACTAAATAATATTCCAACCATATGTTCTCTAAGGTCTAGGGAATCCGCTAATACTGAATTTGCACTAGATTCCATCATTGATCCTTGAGTTGCCCAATTTACATTTTCATTTACATTATCAGATGTTGAAATAAGTTTACCAAATACCTAAAGTACCACAAATAAAGAAATAATTATTTACACAGAAATCATGTTTGAAAGTTAATTAAAATTACCTGAGCTGTTATCAATCTAAACACACGCAATGTTTCGACTTCACAAATTCTTTGCTGTATTTGAGTAGCATTACTTAGTTTAAGATTAGGTTTCCCATACACAACAACGTCATCAATACTAGCAGGAACGCCTAATAGCTTAATTTGGCGAACTCTCAATGTATTTTCTGGACCCCTGAGTTCTAACCGAAAATGAGTGAAACTCTCATCTGAAAATTATGTTTTTAATTACTCTATAAAATATTCGAATACGGGAATTGGTACCTGGTATTTTAGCTGAAATCCACGTGCATACTTTGGAATCTATGTCAATAGTTTTTATTAAATTCGTGTCTCCCAAAGATTGTCCGGCAAAAAACACCACGTTTAAAACTTTATTCTGAAATAGTGTTTGTTAGTTTAATACTTTCACGAAGCTTTTTATTATACCTGTATGTCACGGCTGTTATCAATATGGACAAAGACCGCTTTACAAACGTAGTTCATTTTGTTCATCGAAATTTCAATAATTTTACATTTATTTCGATCTTCCTCATCACTTTCCCAGAAGGTTTCGGTTGAATTGTCGGTTAAAGAATCCGCTAAGGCTTGTCTCGATGATACTGTTATCTATTTAATTTATTTATTGAAGAAAACTTTAGAATTATTCTTAAAAGCAAAAAAGAATGTACCTCAAACATTCCATTTAAATCAGTATAATTAAAAAGTTTTGCTCCGGCGTTACTAACAGGACTCCCATACGCTTGGTCTAGCATATGACCATTCGACTCGCTCATCGCCACAATTGATGATATTAACATAGCTTCATTTTGCTCATCGGATTTGGACAGAATTTTAGAAATGTTACCAAAAACATGTGAGCTTAAAAAAAAATTAATTGATACAAATTAAGACAAATATATTTTTTATTATGTATGTAAATTAATGGTATGCTACAAGTCTAGAAGCTGAATCTACTAAAACACGTCTTATATAAAAATTACTAATAATAAATTTTTACTTGAAATATTTTTATTTCCCAAATAAAATAATTTATTCATTGAGTTTAGATATTGCATTTTTACTTAGACGTCTTATTCGGAAACTATCAACATCCTTCAAGAGCTTGTTAAAAAAAATGTTTACGTTATCACGCAATTTTCAAAACAATGAACACGAACTATAAATTCAAATTATTCAAGTTGATCAGGAATTTTGAACGCGATCATTAACCCAGATTTTTTCGAACATTGAATCTATACATTTTTTAGTTTCATTTTCTTTATTTTCATATTTCCGTTGAATATTGAGAATATTAAACTTTACATTTGTTACATATTATTATTGTTCATATAGGTGTTATTATTATTGTACATATTATATAAGTACCTATGCAAAAACTGATGATCAGCCTGTTTAAATTTTATTCCAAAACATTGAATAGCCATTCTTTGCAATGATGATCCAGCTGGTAATAACAATGTTAAATCGGCAACTGATTGTAGAAATGAGTGTAAACTTTGCGAAACATTCTGAGAAACTTTTCCGCTCATTTGAATATAGGATACTGGGTGTTCAAGAGCCATTTCATTGTCATCACTTTTGAAATTTGTTTCAATATGTTCTTCATAAGTTGCACAACTTAAAGCTGAAACAAACCACCACATTAAATCATGTAAGCAACATGTTTGAGTTACAGATCGTATAAGCCAATTCAAAGCTTGTAAGGAATATATTCTACAAGTAGCAATTCGAAGACTTCGTTTCATAACATAACGTAATTTTTCTAAGTCGTGCTGTTGTGTGATAAATGCCATTGTTGGACGATTTAATAAATAATTATGATTTGGTTCCATATCAATACAGTGATCTTTCGGATTATTTGAAGTTGAAGTATCTTTTTCATATTTATATTTGGTACTTAACGTTGAATCTTTACTTGTGAGGCTACTAATATTATTGGTTTGATCTGATTTTTCTAGTAAATCCTTATCAACTAACACTGGAGGAGGAGGTGGTGGGGGAATCGAATTATTATACTTTGGAATAATAAAAGATCTACTTAAAACATTTTCTGGTACTAATTTTCTTAAATTTTCCGATGGATAACATAACATTAAAGAACTTTCTGTTTCCGAAGATGAAGTTTTACGACGCCGCATTACAACCTAAAAAATATTTTTTTTCAAATTAATCAATTACATCAAAAAATATTTACTCTTACCTTTGTAACAGAATTTTCATCGAAATTGGCTGGATACACTGTCATACCAGACTTTTGTGGTGAATGATTCGACCAACCTTGTATCATTGAGAAACTTCGATGAAATTTTGATAATGTTCCACTACCGTGCGCTGAACCAGAAGTTTTCATTATTTCAGAATTATGCTGATCACATGAATCAAATGATATTTCAGATAATGGTCTTTCAAACAAATTATCACCAGAATTTATACCGAAAATTTCATATGGCATATCATCAGCCATTGAAGCGCCTAAAGATTCTAAACAAGAAAAAACTTCTGGTGCCAACCACATCGAATCAGGAGAATTACAATTTGGAAAGCTTTTTCTACTTGGTGTACTTGAAAATGGATTAAATTTATTTGAATTCATTTTCAAACCAATTCGGCTATTCCTATGTGAAGTTTCACCACCTCGACTAGTACTAGGCTTATTAATATCAGCAAAAATATTTATTTGCCCTTCTGCTACTACGGGCATCTGTCCGGGTGAACGTTTTTGTTGTGTTACTAGTGGATTGGAATTTTGTGATGTCGATGATGATAGTTCTAGTAAAAACATCGCATTCTCTTTCATCATTGAATAAATTTCTGAATTAGCATGAAAACTATTTGATGTTCGATTATTAAATAAGTCGTTTGGGGATGAAACTTGATTGCTTGAATTATTTAAATTGTTAATATTTTTATTCACAGAAATATATTTTTCACGACATTGATCACACATTAGAAACCAACTGTAGGCTCCTTTCCCTCCTTCCCCACAATTGCCAGCCCAACCTTCACAATAAATTCCGACAGAATTGTAACCTTTACCTAAAAGAAAAAATCGAATGATAACGACTCTTTCAAATTAGAAATGGTCGGACCTTTGGCAGGTTTTCCACATCCTGGATGCACAATTCTCATATGATAAGTTACAGGTATTGGTAAAAATATTTCACAAAATTCACACCATGAAGCATCATCTGGAATTAAAAAAATAATTTTATTAGAAATTTAATTTTTGATTCAATTCTACCTTTCTTTTTTTTCCGTAACTTTCTATTATCTTTGTCGTGATTATCTATTTTATCCTTGGAGCTATAATATTTTGGAGAAGTCCTGAAAATTAAAAAATTTTTAACAAAATTTGTTTAATTCTGTTTAAAACTTTATTTACAACTTTTGATTTTCCAAAGTATTACTTTGTACAATATGTGCCGAATTTGTACATAATTGCTCCCACAAATATACTAAACATTTTAACGCTGGAGGCAAAACAGCTACAACTTCAGGTAAAGAATGTAGTTTTGTTTTTTCGTTGTTCTGAGATTCTGACTGAAAAAAATACGAATTATTTAAAATGATAATCCAGATTGAACGTTTCTTACATCATTTGCACCCTTTCTAAGACGTCTATTATTAATGCTAGATACTCCGGATTTGGTTAAAGTTTCTAAAGTTGATGGTCTAATATTTAGATAGTTACCGGCATTAGCTACTTCAACGGAATGTCGTTGCTGTGCTTTTTGTTCCTTTGACAAATTTGTGGTGCAATTATCGTGAGCATCACGCCTTGTTACAACTAAAGCACCTTCTTTTGGCAAGTTAGGATGGAATTTCAAAAACGAAGCGCAAGACATAGCGTCATGTACTATACCTTCATGCCATAAAATTGCAGCAAATATGGCTCTTAAACTTTCAGCCAATGATGGTGGCATTGCTCGTTTTGGTGGTCCCATCTTTAGAACATTATCCATTGATGTTGGCTTATCTTTACCAACCGGCAGGGGCGTAATAATAGAGTGACTATATTGGTGTGGTGCTGCCGGTGGCCACACTGGTGCACTGGAAGTATCTGGGCTTGCTGTTTGTTGTTGTTCTAAGTCTTTTTGTGCATTGGTCGTACACTTTGTATTTACAGTTAGGGGCTTTTCTGATGACACAGCTTCGGATTGTATATTTGTAGCGATCCCTGGAGTTGGTATTGGTTTCTTGGGCTTATGTTTTTTCGAAGTGTGTTTTGGAGTTGAAGGAAAATAATTTAATTTTGAAACTGTTGTCGCAATTGCATGCAAATCAGAATGACTAGAATTGGTATCCGTTTGAAATTTTGGAGAACTTGAGATGTCATCTTTTGTGCTACTACGACTAGGGGAATGACTTAAATCCCTTGTTAAGGAGCTAACAAGAGCAGATGTATCTTCAACCGATTTACTGCTGCTGCTACAAAAAGATTGCCCCTCGTTGATGTGTTTCACTATAATATACATTTAATTAAATGATTACCATGCTAAGAAAAATATTTTTGTTATGTTACTTGTAGGGACTTGTACAGGGCTAGAATTCGTTGCTGAGTATTGACCACCATCACTATTACCATTACTTCTAGACTCTTGAGCACCGATCGCGCGGACTAAATCTTTAACCGATACAGATGCTTCATATACTTTTCGATCGTCTTCAGCTCGCTTTCTTTGATTTTCTTTAGGATCTACGCTATTGTCACCTTTAAACCATTTTTGCAAAGCTTGCAGTTTACTAGCTCCTCCGCCCACAACACCGGCTATTGCTGAACCTAAATTAGAAGATGGACTCGAACTATGAATACTACTGCTATCATCTTGCGATGTAGCCATTGTTTGGACTTTCCTCAATGCTTCATTCGCGGTTGACATTGTGTTCTCTACATTTGTTTGATGGTCAGAGTTTATTTCATCATTTAAATGGTTTTCTGATTGCTCATCCGATCTATCAGATTCAAACAATTTATTTGAAGATGAAAATAAAAAAGGATTTGTCATCGATGAAGATATGGTCTCTGCTGATTGTGGTGTTCCCTAGAAATATCATATGAACATTTTTAATATAATATGTATATAGTACACATAAAGGAATTTTAACCTTTGGGGAATCCACGAGCTTTTTGATTGGAGAATTCGTTAAAATTTTCGGGGAGGGTTCAGCTGAAACAATTTCGGGATTATCGATCATATTTCTAAAATAAAGGATTTTATATTCAAAATGTTAAAAAAATTCTTAAAAAAACCGTAACAGGTTATACATTTTTGGTTTATTTTTTGGCACAGCTGGCTTCACAGATTGCTCTTCTAAAAGTGGATACAACAAAGTCTTTCCTAAATGTTGGTTATATTGTAAGCACCAGGCTTCCGTTGGATACCACCCAGTACTGCAATGTTCGCGAATTGAGACAGTTGATAATCTCACCCAGATTCCATCATCATTTTCAATCTGAAATTTTTTCAAAAAACATTCAAATAATTTGGATGAATTTTGTTTCAAATAAACAAAACAACTAATAATAATTACCTCATCTATAAAAGAAATTATTCCATTCATTTTAACAATGCCGACTTGTTCAGACTGTAAAGCCGGATGCGAACGAATTCTTAATCCGGCAGAATTTTTTGCAACAAACTTTCTAAGTTTGTTTTGTGGCTGTGACGTTTTGATAGCCATTCTGTGCGGTGGAGGAGCACCACCTTCTTTTACTTCTACTCTATAAACTTCCTCTAACGAAATGCCATCCACCATTACTGTTAAACAATAATTTCCAACAGAATTTGGTGTCCAATGAACGCTAAATGTACCATCCTCCATATCTTGTGCATACAAAGTTTCGGTAACTCGAGTTTGATTTGGACTACAAAACCGTAATTCTTCAAAAGAATATTGACTATATGGTTTCATAAATGTTATTGCTTTGAAGCACATTTTTTCCTTAACAGTCGGTTCGTAATTAATACGAGGTGGCGGTGTCATTCCACCTAGTGAATTTATATCATTATAAGATGTACGCCGCATTTTCAATTTACCATTGGCAATAACTCCAACAGGTACAGCTTTTATCTCAACTTTTAAATCAGGTACAATTACAGCGTCACCATATTGATCACGAATTGTTACAACTAATTGTGTTGGCCAACCATATCTGAGTGAATCTGATATTGGATTTAATTCACACCTTTTGGAAGAGAACATTTAAAGCATTAGTATCTAAACACATACTATATTATAGAGCGTCAAAGCTACCTATTTGGATCAAGTCTCGGTTCTGGTTGAAGCCATGCTGCTAATCTACCACCTGATGATCCTGGTGCCCCGCTAATAAAATCTTTCAAAAACTGCCTTTCATTTGATCTAGATCTGTTGGAATATAAAAAAATCTGAATTAATCAACAAGTAAATCTGTAAAGTTAATAAAGAAAGAAAACAATTTTTTTAAACTCTTTAAGCCGATAAGTTTGAGAAATACAATTTTCTAGAATAGTCCTCTCGAATAGCTAAGTAAATTACTGAAGTAGACAAGTAATATTAAAATAGCAAAATAATCAAGTACAGAATGCTCTTTAGAAGTTTTCCAAAAAAAAAAATTGTTGGTTTCACTATGTCGATTCACCGGTGAACATGTTTACAAAACTTCTGCACCCTTGAAGATAGAAAGTTGAAATTTCATTTTTATATAGATATTTTTTAGAATCTTATTTTTGTGGATTTCTAGAAACTTATTTTTGTGGAAAATATTCAGCTATTTTTGTGGAAAATATCCACATATTTCTAAAACTGCAACCCGCCACATATTTTTGAAACTGCCACCTTTTCTAAATTTCTATAAATAGCTAAAAAAAATGCCATACCGACAAAATATATAATTATTTTTTTAACTGACGCAATTAATCCTTGATTTCGAGCATCAGGTTAACGCCTCTTTAAATTTTTTTGTTTTGCTTCAAATTTAATACATTTAGGATGAGCAATGCATGCAATCTTTTAAATATTTTTGTGACTGAATGAAAGTAATTTTAATTAATTAAATTTGGTTATTTTTAAAAGTAGTATTTTCATTTGTTCAAGGGAAAAATGCTACTTTACAAACCATTGGTTGGCCAACTTTATTAGATTTTCTCTCACATTCATTATTCTATTTTATTACATTACATTCAGCAGATACATTAACAAATACATAAGTTCTACCATAACTAATATTAAGTGCTACTTGTGCAGATCACAACAATTTTAAAAATATAACATAATTCGGCATTATTTCTTGTTCTATTACTTGTGTCTTATACATAGTTTAAATGTTTCAGAAACTTTAATAACATTATAAGACAAAAATTATATAATATACGCTATGTAAGAGCAAAAATTGTACCTTTTCAACCTAAATATAAGATTACTTATCCATTATTACACTCAATTCCGTATTTTCATATCTTTCATTCAAAATTTATAAATTAAAATAATTGAAAATAAGAAGCGTATTATTTTGATTATATATTAGTATCATATGCATATTTTCGGACTTGTGAGGTATATAATAAATTTGTAATTAAGTTTCAAACTATAAGTAAGTGTTTGAGACTAAAATCTTGAAATATCTGAAGTATTTTATGTTTAACAAAGATTCAGTAAAGTAAACTTAAAATTATTTGAAAATAGTGCCATATAATTAAGAATTTTTCTAAATTTTGTGAGCTGCAGTTAAGTTATAATACATTCAGTTACACATCAAAAAAATTCATTTAGCAATTCAAACCATTAGGAACTTCAAGTCAAATAAACAGTTATTTAGAACGAACTGAATTTACTTGGAATTGAAAATTAAAAAGAAGCTATTCTAATTTTTACAAAAAATTTTTAATAAATACTAAATATGGTTCCATTTGGTTTTTATCCATAATTGGTTTTTCAAAATAATTTGAATATTTTCTCCCAATTATATTAGACCACATCTAAACATCAGTGGATCACTATCATATAGATTTTAAAGAAATATCCTATAGTTGGCCAATTGTCAACTTCATTTATTTTCACATTTCATTCTTGAAAAAAAATTATTTTAAACGCATGATATTAATTTTTTAAAACAAAATGAAAAAATTCTTATTTCGTGTTTTGATGGTCACACTTCAGAAATTCGCTTCAATTTAATAAAGAAAATAAAAATAAAATGAAATTCAAAACTATATTATTACACTTTGTTTATTAAAATGAAACGCTTTTTAAATCATATACTGGGAGAAGGAACATATACATATAAATACATATCACATATACATACATATGTACAAGCGCGAAGAAAGTTTGGTATTGACCTCTTTTTAAATGTTTCTTTGAAGAGTCACGCTGTTCACAAATTGAAAAAAAAAATAAAGGGCATCACCCATTGTTTTTTCTTATAAAATCTACTAGAGTTTCATGATTCTATTATCTTTAATAATATTGTTAACTGGTTTACAAAAAGGTTTTTAACTACTGATATGCAAATAAGTACTTCGATAACAGGAGCTCATCGTTTTAATTTGGAGTTTTGAACGTAATTTAACGTATATGGCGGATCTGAAACTAACAATATTTCTGAAAAATCTGCAATTAATAAACTGTTAATGTTGTTTAATTGAAATTAATGAATCATGACTAGTAAAATAGTAATATATTAAATGCAACTAGCAAAAATTGGAACCCATCATTGGATTTTCTGATTTGAAGTTTAATATATTAAATTTTATTAAAACTATTCAAGGCGTTAAACTAATTTTTTATTTTGATTTTCTCCAAAAAAGTTCACAGCATTTAGAAATTTTATACTTTTAGAATTCTAGATAAAACAACCAAAAGTATCAGGTTACGTTTGTTATTCATGAACTCAATGCACATATACGATACAAGAATGATTCTTTAGAAAAATATTTCTGAAATAAAATGAAAAACCGTACATGCGTAAGACTTTTAATTTTTGCTTTCTTTACAATTTATGACTTTTATTGTCTTGCTTGCAATATCCAAGTATATCTGGTTTTTCTAGTCATAATAGAATAAAATGGCTTTTAATATTCTTTTTTTATTTAAGCTACTATTCTGGTTTTTTTCATCATTTAGTAGATGAAAAAAAAAGAAATTATTTTATAAGGCACTCACTCATTTTATAGAAACCCTTTTACAAATTGAATACGTAAACATTATCTGAACGCATACAAGCACGATATATTAAATTGGAAAAAGAACTTTTTGGTTTATTTTTGATTTTATTAAACTGTTCTCAAGATGTAGGGAAAAAAAGTTATACTCGTAATGTATGAAAATGAAAATTCATATTTAAAAAAAAACTAAGAGTAAATATGCTTGAAGTTTTATTTAAGCTTTAAAAAATCTTATCAGAAACATTTGAAAATAACTTTTGGACATAACCTGGAATATTAACAAAAATGCAAAAACTAATTATCTTCATCATCATAAGATCGTCATAACTTCGATTAAATTTTAAAGATTATTCAAGTACATTAAATGATATTACTATTTTAGTGCTAATACGATTAGAACATTCTGTGATATTGTTGCTGTTTTTACTTTTCTTCCACCACAATTTTCTAATAAGAGTATCTTGTCGAAAGTTCAACAAATTCATAAACACTGTATTTTTAACCGAATTTAAAACCGGCACACCCAATGCAGTAAAAGAAATCAAACTTTATTTTTTTACGGACAATCAAATACTAGTCTTATTTAAAAAAATGTTTTTTATTGTATTATTTGTTATCATTATTATTTGAAATTGATGAAGAAGGTAAAAGGATACATTGTACATTATATTTATTTATTGCATTATAATTCATTTACAATAGTAGATTTAAATTTCAACCGTAATAAAAAAGTAATCATATTTAAAAAAATTTTATCCTACTCATACTGACTCACATATAGCACTATTATGTTCACATATAGCACTATTATGTTTTTTTTATAGGTTCATTTGGTATATTAATCTATAAATAGTGTGGATCATTTTTCAGATTCTTTTGTTATGAAAGTCGGAATATTTATGAGGATGAAGTAAAAAATTCATACAATATTCTCAATTCGATTTTTTCATTTTATGGAATGAAAAACTGAGATAGATTTCTGTCACTATAAATATATGACAGAAGAATGTAACCCATCTTTTTCGTACTAGCACATAAAAATATTTGAAAAATTTTTCTCTTTACCGAATTGCCAATAAAAATTAACTAATTTTGTAGGTATTTATATTAAATTAAAATTAGAACACATCTGTGGGCAATTCAAAAAATGTATATGCATCAATTCGATATTCGTTTTAATGCTCAATTAACAATTTCTTCAATTACGTTTACGTGCACCGATTGCCAAAAAGTGTATGTATATTTTTCTCTGTGCAATTATTGCTGTTAGCGCTTACATTAATATTTTAATAGACTTTATAATCATATTTTAATCGAATCAATAAAAATGATAATTTCAAGACAAAAGAGAAATTTTCTTACTTAAAGAAATATTTAGAAGGCCCACTCTTTTTATATACTTACATTTTTCTTTACATATGTAAATTTATAAATCTACTGTATGATATGTAATATAATAAATTTTATAAAATATAGACATGTATGTATGTTTGTGTAAAAGAAGAAATTTAATATACCTAACCCTTCCTAATTTAAATTTCAAAACCTATTTTCGAAATATCATAAAAATCATTAAAGAAAAATTATCTTCAATCTCTGATTTGTTTTTCATTTATTTTTCTCTTTTACAAATCCACATCCAATTATCTAAAGGTAATAATAAAGCAAATCTAATTTATTTATGCATATACAGACTCTTCCATGCAGGTTAAGTGTTCCTATACTATTATGCACCGATTCGAGCACTCATTCACATACATGTATATGTATAAACATATCTATAAAAAGGCCTACATTATCTGTAAACATGTAGCCTTATACATATTATATACATTCATGTACATACATGTATGTAAGTGCACATTTAATATGTAACACGTATAAAAATAATAACAAAAACAAAATAAATCGTCCACTTGATTTTTGCTTCTTTTATTCACTTTTACTTTATCTCTTTATTTATAAAAAAAAATATTTACCTGTTCAACCTCTGAATCTCCTTTTATATAACACAGGTAAC